GCCTCCAGCCACACCTGGCTCCTTACATTTAAATGAATTACAATGAAGCAAAATTTAAAATGTAGTTATCCACTCACTGAGCCGCTTTTCAAGGGCTCAGGGGCCATATGCTGCTAGTGGCTCCAGTATTGGATGGCTCGAATGTGTAGAACCGGGCAAAGCTCACTTCCTGCACCCTTCAGCCCCATGTTTCAGCCCCCAGGGCACACTGTTCCCAGTGCTTCCCTACCCGGGGCCACCTTTGTCTACAGTAAAAACCTCCTGGAAGCTGCTAATTGGACGGTGCCCTCTGAAGTGGAATGCTGCAAAACCGGCTCCCCAAAATGCAAAAGCCTTGATTTGCAGTGTTTGTTAGATTTCTGTGGCATAAATACTGCCATCGTGGCCGATTTCCAGCTCCCGGTGGCTTAACAACTGCCTGGCAAGGGTTCTGGGGCAGCTGGTGTGAGCCAGCTCCAACACACCCAGCCTGGCCTTTCCCTGCAGGCCCTGGCTGGTGCAGGAGTGTCCGCCGCTGCCTCTGCAGCAGCTGCCTGAAGTGACGATGCAGACTCCCTTCCTAGGGTTCCACTGCCCAGGGCCACAGCGTCCCCTTGAGCCCTCAGTTCTAATCACCCCCAGAGCAGGTGAAGCAGAAGTGGAGAGAACCACTTTGTCACCTGGGCCCCAAAGTGGCACTGCTTACATTCTGGGGCCCACAAGCTATCTATCCTGTAAAAGCAGCCCCCCGCAGCCTCCATCTACCTCTCTGTGTGTCCCTCTCTGTGTCTCTCTTTCTCTTTCCAAGGCTCAAAGCAGGCCTGGGTAGGGCTAAAAAATGGAAACCTTCTGCTATTTAACATGTCTATGGCTCTGTCATCTCCATGCACAGGATCTGGTCCCCAAATTGCATCTTTATAGATCCAATCTCCCCCCGTACCTGTCAGTTCATGAAAAATGTTGTTGGGTGCAAGGGAAGGTGAGGATGAGGGTCGGGGTGGGGGTGGGACAGACCTGCTGACCAGCAGAGGGCGACTCTAAGTTCCTCTAAACAAGCAAACGAGCACCATTGCTAAAGAGCCAACAACATAGCTTCCATTAAATATATCATGGTTTACCCAACAGAAGACTGTACAAACTTTTAAAAATGTTTTATGGTATAGGAAAATGATCATAATAGTCTGCACATTAAAAAGTAAGAGATTTCTTTCTGGTCCCATGAGGACATGATGCCAACTGAAATAAGCCAGACACAAAAGGACAAATACTGTAACGGGAAAATATGGCTCAAAGAGTGGCAGGAAAAAGGAGCACGGTGTCCCTTGATTCACAGGGAGCACCTATTCTTGTTCCTCTCCAAGTCCCATCTGCCACTGAATCTGAATACTGACATTTTTTTTTAAAGATTTTTATTGGGGAATTGGGGGGATAGGAACAGTGCTGGGGAATTGGGGGAAGGGGAACAGACAAGTTGCTGTCCTTTTGTTCTTCAGTCTAGTTGTGGAGGACGTTGCTTCACTGGCCCAAGTTGGCACCATCATTGCGCTCTTCCTGGGTGAGGCAGATCAGTCGCCGGCTTCTGGACGGCCGCTCACTGCGGCTGCTGGCCGCTCACGCTGGCCGTTCACGCTGGCCACTGGCTACACACGGCAGCCCATGGCAACCCACTGCCACAGGGGCTGCAGCCTCCGCCGTCGCCGGCGACTCATGGCTGCCCAGCTCCAGGTTGAGCTGTTGTTCAGCATCTTAGCTGTAGAGGGCAGTGTCACTGGCCCTCATATGTGGGATCCGAACCGGGGCCCTCTGGCATCCCAAGCCAGTTCTTAACCATCGTGCCACTCGGCCGGCCCTGAATACTGACATTTAACTGTTGTGTTTTTATACTTTGTCCTTTCAGCTCTTGAAAAATCCTCCATTGTGATTTCTTCTGCCTTTTATTACTCTTTCTCCATTACATATATCTTTTTGTTTTTTCCGTTGTGCCTTTTTGCAGTTTTAAGACTCCATCTTCCCTTCCCACAGGGAACGGGCCATGCCTGGTCCACCTCAGCACACTGACGTATTCACAGCCTCCACACAGTAGGTCCTCAAATGTCTGTGAATGACTGAGGGTCACTCCCACCCATTTCCAGCAGCACTCAGCCTGTGACACACCCTCAGCAGGGCTTAGGACACGGTTGCCAATTTGATTTATGGAACTTATTATCCCAAGTGGCAGCAGAGGATAGATATTGATTCAAAAGGGTTTAAATAAATAAGTGGATACACAATCCAGAAAGGGCAGTAGACTGAGGAGAGGGGGTTTGTCAAGCAGCTGAAGCAGATGGCATAAAGGAACTGGTCCTCTCAAAAAAACTGGGTCTAGCGGAGTCATGGCGGGGACAGGATGGGCTGTGGAGTCAGCAAGCGCAGTTCACGTCCAGGCTCCATCACATCACGTGCCAGGGGAGGGGCCTTGGGCAAATAGCTGAAACAAGATGTCCTCTTGTGGGGACAGCTGAGAGGAATGTACATGCACATATTTGTGTGTGTGCACCTGTGTGTTTATTGGGAGAGAGCACAAAGGGTGAGGCTGGTCTCTGCTCCGTGAGGTCTGAAGCCTCAGCTGGGGGACTCGAAGGCTGGGGGCTGGAATCATATTCAGGCTCCTTCACTCACATACCTGGTGGGAGGTGCTGGCTGTGGGCTGGTCGCTGAGCTGGGGCCATCGGCTGGAACACCTACACGTGTCCTCTTGGCTTCTTTACAATGTGGAGGCTGGCTCCGTGGGACGTGCCCAGTGAAAGCCGTGTCGCTGTTTCTGACTTAGCCTTAGAAATCACAGTGTCACTTTCACCACAGCCTGTTGGCAAGGCAGTTCCAAAACCCTGCCCAGGCTGAACAGGAGAGGCCACAGGGGCCCACTCTTGATGGAGCAGTGTTGCTGACACATTGAAAGAAGAGCACGTGAGGTGGCATGCATGTTGGTGTGGCCATCTTTGGAAAATACAACCTGCCACACTGTGTGTCAGGCAGCTGATGATCTCTTATTCCTTGAAAAATGTTGAGGGTCTAGGTTTAATTATCTCCACTCTAGAGATGGACAAACCAAGGCTCAGAGAGGCAAAGTAGGTTGCCTTGGGCAATTGATTTAACCTCTCTGAACCTGAGTTACCTCCGCTATAAAGTGGGTAGAAACATCTCTACCTGAATGGATTACTGTGAGATTGCAGTACTTATGACTTTATGGGGTTGTGAGAAGATTGCAGTTGGGGAAGGTGCTTTGGGAACTCTCACACCTGTGCTAACGAAAGCACCGATCTTGATGGTTGTAGCACCATTATTTCCTTGCCCTCCCCCTCCAATCACCAGTCACACACAACCCCATAGCCAGTCAGGGACCCGGGCCTCCATCCACACACCCTCCAAAGCAAGGCTTGCCCAAGTGTTTAGCTGGGGCTCACTTCAGTGCAGCCCAAGAGCTCACTGCCCCACTTCCTTGACTGTTCCATCATCCAAGAGGAAAAGTACCTTGGCAAGAATGCTAATGTTTGTTTATAAATTCCAAACGCGTAAGCTTAACTCATTTAGTTGATTATGGGTAAGTAGTCCTTTGGTCATACTTAAAAATGGCCTGTTGCTCTGTGTACCTGTCCCCTCGGGAGCAGGAGGAAGGCCTGGCATTTCTGCATTTGTTCATGGGCCCCAGGAGGACTCTTCAGGTTCCCGAACAGACCAAGGACCGTCCTTGGAAAACTGCTCCTCTGGGGATTCATTCCAGCCCATGTCCCTCAATGTCAATCCACCTGTGAGGGCTAAGGCCCTCAAAGACCCTCCCCCACCTTTGCCTATGGTGTCCATTAAACAGACAATTGACTCTCCCGTTAATCTGATTCAATTAGTAAAGCGGTGGGAGAAGAGGACTTGCTGCTCGAGTGTGTGAAGGAGGCCCGAACGCTACTCTCATTTCATAGCCGCTGGGCTGGCTACCTCAGGGTGTCTGAGGCAGGAGTGAGGGAGGCAGGCATGGCCAGGCTCCCTGGGGCCAGGGTGGGGGAGGCACTCAGGGTGACCCCTAGGACCTCAGGTGGCAGGTGACTAGATAACAGAGGTGACTTTTTACGTCTTAGAGCAGGACCAGGCTCAGGAGAGACAGCCTGAGCTTTGCAATCGAAGCTTTTAATCTAGCTTCCGCTCTCAGAGCAGTGTAACCATGGACCAGTTAGTAATTCAAGGTCTCCGAGGCTCACATCAGCTATTTCACCTCACTACTGGGTGAAGCAAGGGGTAGCAGCATCACGTCTGATATCTAAGAGAGGCCCCAAATATTGGATTTGTTCTTCTCGCTGACTTTAATCCTTATGACAACCGTTTTACAGATGAGGAAACAGGGAACAATCGAGCAGCATGCTTTTGCCTGAAAATGCTCATACTTGTCTTAGCGATAGGTACAGATCTCTGCAATGTCCCAGTCTCTGGGAGGCCACCTGACAGAGCAGACTATCCCTGGGCCTGGCCGGCTAAAAACACTATGGAGGCAACCCTCATCACTACCCTGAACAAAGTAAGTGTAAGAAATCCTGATAGCACGGATGACAAAACTGAGGCTCAGAGAGGTGCTGTGACTTTCCCAGGGTCACACAGCATTCAAGTGCCAAAGGCGGGCTTGGCTGCTCCAGCACCCCAAGGCTGACAAGCCCAATCCCTTGGAGCTTCAACTCCTCCTCCCTCTCCCATGCCAACAAAAGGAAAATCATTTCCCATTCCTGGCACCCCGGCCAGCCCAGAGAGCCCGAGTGAAAAAGAAATGTTTCCAAGTACAGCACGATGGTCTTTCCTGGCTGCTCAGTTTTGCGGTCTGTTGTTGTTTGAAACTTGTTTCCCAGGAGACTCTGGGAAATGCAGGTGCAGGGGCCTGGGTGGCAGCTGCCAGCTTCCTTTCTCTGGGCTGGGTACCTGCTCTCAAGTTTATGTCCTGGAGCTGTGTGCTCAGACTTGACCATGTTTGGGCATGGAGGCTTGTCCCAGATGGGGACCAAAGGCAGCTTCCCTGGAGACAGAGGCGGGCTGGGAGCCGGAGCTTCCTGCTGGAACTCAGGAGGCCTCTTTTCGGGTGGGGGCTGGGGGCCAGGCAGATAGAAAGTGTCCGCCAGCTGAAGACTCCAGGGCACTGTGAGTACAGTACCCAGAGCGCTTGGGAGGTGGGTTCTCCAAGGCTGGGGCTGGTCGGTGGAGCTTTGCGGGGGAGGGAGGCAGGCAGAGGGAATGCCCTTCCTTAAGGGGCTGTGCATCTGGATTCTAGGCTCCGGAGGGGCTGGTGTTGGTGTCACTGGGGACTAGAATTGCTGGCACCTGACTGGTCTGGGGGTGCTCTGTGGCCAGGCCACTCTAGGAGCTCAGTGCCCTGGACCTCAGGTCCCAGCTTTCAGAGCACCCCGAGGGCCACAGCCTGGAGATCAGCCCAGGGAAATTTTACTGCCTTGTGACACTGTAATGTCTGTGTTAGGATATAGGGGAACCCCACTTCTCAGTGCTGCAAAAGAGGGAGGAAAAGTTGTCATTGGGTGTCATCCCTGTCAGTCATCTTGGAGGGAGTGACAGGGCTGTGTCCTGTGCCTGACCCTGGGCTCTCTTTAGGACAGTGGAAGAGTGGGGGGGACAGCAGGGGTGGGTGTGAGAGGGCATCGAAGGTCTCTGATGGGATAGTTGAAACAGTCAATTCTCAGGAGAGAAGCCTAAGTAGAAAATAAAGCACTTTAGCACTTCGCTGAAAATCCCTTTGGACCGATGTCTATCTCCTCGACATTCACTAATTTATAAAAGTAACGTGTTTATTACTTTAGGGATCTGGCAGGGAAAATAAAGTTCTTTCAGATATCTGGCTAAAATTTTCCTTAAAAAGCAGGGTTACAGAGAAAGGGCCCCATGGCCCTGATAGCTTTGGTAGAAACGGACTGCGGTTACTTTAAACAAAAACTACAAGGAAATTGACTGGAAGGCTATGGGGCAACTCACAGAACAGATGGGAAACCCACAGAAAAGATAGAAGCTGCACAGCTAGGTGGCTCCAGGTGGCACTCGGGTGGTAAGAGTCGCACCCCTGGAAGGTGTTGAGGGTGCCCAGCAGGGCAAGGAGGGGTTCTCTTTGCATCTCTTTCCCCAGGATGAGGGGCTGCTGCTGGAAGAAGGGGGGAAAGGAAATCTGCCAACTACTTCCCCCCATTCTGCTTTGGCCTGGGATGGCTCAAGCCTCCATAGAAGCGAGCAGCTGCTGAGGCCGTCTAATGCTCTGCCCTCGCTGGAAGCAGGAGGCAGCCCTTACAAGATCCTGACCTCGGAAGAACACCTCCTGCCACCCCGATGCCTGTGGCTGCTTCCTGGGGTTCTCTGCATGTGCTGTCCCAGGCCCAGCCGGCCCTGCCAGCCCTGCCACGGGACTGTGTCGGCAGAGCTGTAAAATGCTCCAGGTGTTTCCGAGACGCGTGTCCCAGGAGAAAGTGCACCCATGGTCTGCCTCTGCTGCTTGCTGATTTAGTGTACCACCTGTGTTAGTTTCCTATTGCTGCCATAACAAATGACCACAAACTTGGTGGCCCCAAACAACAGAAATCTACTTGCATCTAGTTCTGGAGGCCAGAAGCCCCAAATCAGCAAGATGTTGGCAGGGTTGCACGCCTTCCAGAGGCTGCAGGGGACAATCCGTGTTTCCTGCCTCCTCTGGCTGCTGGGGGCTGCCCGGACTGCCTGGCATGTGGTGGCTTCCCTCCAATCTCTGTCTCCCTGGTCATATTACCTTCTCCTATTCTGTGTCTAATCTCCGTTTGCGTTCGTCCTATAAGGACCTGGTGACTACATTTAGGGTCGATGTGGGTAATCCAGGATAACCTCCCCATCTCAAGATCCTTAATTTAAAGTCTTTGGCACGTAAAGTAACAGTCACAGATTCCAGGGTTGAAAATATGGGCATCTTGGGGCGGATCATTGAAACTGTCACACACAGTGTGACCTGGGGCAAGTCACTTTACCTCTCTGAGCCACGGGTTCTTCATCTGTAGAAGGGGTATGACAATACTTGTCTGTCAGAGCTGGTGGTAGGCTTGCACGGGGCCAAAAACAGCCCTCGAAAGTTGCAAAGCTCTTCTCACCTGTCTTCCCTTCTGTGGATGACTTGTCACCTGTGCCGATCTCACACCTATGTGCCTCTGTGGCCCTAGACATGACCGCTGTCCCCGGTGGACATGGGGAGGAAGCTGGTGATGGCCCAGAGGCGGGGAGAGACTCGAGCCCTTTGCCTGGGCGTGGCCATGGTGATGTGTGCCATCATCGCATACTACATCCTGTGCACGACATTGCTGCCTCTCTACGAGAAAAGGTATGGAACCCCCCTGGCCTGCCCCTGCCTCCCAGCCTCTCCTCTAACGGTATGCTCTGTGAGGAACCCCAGACTTCTTCCCACCCTTCCCCTTGACCCTCACACCAGACAGGAAAGTCTGGACAATCCTCATTCTTAGGGTCAAGGGTTCACGTGCAAGGAGCGTAGACTATACTGGGCTGGGATTCTGGGACTTGTGAGTAACAGATGCAGGAGGCCATTTATACAAGAAACACCAAAGGATGAAAACAAATGTTCCAGTGTGAGTTTCATCCCAGGAGGAATCAGAGTCACAGAATTTTGTAGCTCATCAGCACAGTTTGACTTCCCCTCTGAAAACTTCCGGCAAGTGGGCATCTAGCTTCCTGTTGAATATCTCAAGTGACGGGGAGCTCACTACCTCACCATACTTTCTTATCAGTATTTGGAAGGTCTACCTTGAGCCAAAATCTGCCCCCCTGCAGCTCTGCCCTGAAATCTCAGAGAATGTTTCATGTTCTTGCTCCTTGACACGTCAACCACTTGAGGTTTTAAAGGAAAAGCTATGAAATTCTTAATCTGCATTCTGTTTGGAACAAACACACTCAGTTCTTTCAGCCTGCTCTTAGGATAAGCCTCAGAGCCTCGCCTCTGGGCACATTCCAGCTGCTGCCAGCCCCTTTGCCTGATAAGTGGGAGATGAGTCACAGTTGATTTGCTGCTGGTGTGTTGATGAGTCTGTTAGCCTCTCCTGGGCCTGCTCCTACCTCAGTTCCTCCAGCACCAGAGCGATTTCAGGCTGGAACCTTACCCAAATGACGCACCACTCGGAGCAGCCGTGTGCCTCCAACACGTCACCTCCAAGTTAAGGACCATCCCACCATCTTTCCCACGCTGGCACAATTGCAGCCCCTCCTTCATCTGTGCTTTTTAGGGGCAAGGGCACAGATCCTGAAGCCACCCAGACCTGGCTTCAGGTCCTGGGTGGCCTAGGAAAAGTCACTTGACCTTTTTGAGCTTTATCTTCCATCCTCTGCAAGATGAAGATGATGTGGGTCCAGGGTCTTGGGCCTGGCTGCTCATCAGAACAACGGCAGAGCTTTTTAAAACGTACCAGGGCCTGGGCCTCACCCACCTTAAAATTTCTGATTCACTTGGTCTGGGGTGTGGCTTAGGACATAGGGATCTTTTTAAAAGTTCCCTAGAGTTTTGGGTGAGCAGCCAGGGTGGAAACCTTTTATGTAGGTGCTATTCATCCAGCATGGATTTCCTGATTCTGTGGTTCCCCCTCCCCTGGACCCAAGAACTCTGGGACCATCCTCCTTTAGTGCTGGATGGATATGGAAGACGAGCATCCCAGCCCTGGGTCTCTCTAAAGAGGTCCAAATGGGTGCTCTGTGCTACCCAGGTTCTAAGAAGTGTGTGTGTGTCTGCGGTCTCCCCAGTGTGTGGACCGAGAAATCCATGTGCCACCTGATTGAGACCAACATCAGGGACCAGGAAGAGCTGGAGGGCAAGAAGGTGGCCCAGTACCCGTGCCTGTGGGTCAACGTGTCCACGGTGGGTCGGTGGGCTGTGCTGTACCACACAGAGGATACTCGGGACAAGAACCAGCAGGTACTAACTGGGGGAAATGGGGTACATGTCCCCTAACCCCTGGCAGGTATGTGAGCCTGGCCCTAACTGCCTCTCTATCTCCTCTCTGGAGAGCAGAGACTAAGAAGGGTAAACACACTTGACCAGGGACCACAGCAGGCATGAGGTCCAGCCAGACCTAGCTCTTTTGTGTTGTAGTCAGTCAGACCTGGGTTTGAGTCCCTGCTCTGCCACTAACAGGCTGTGTGACCTGGGGCAGCTTACTTAGCCCTTCTGTGCTTAGTTTCCACCTTTGCTGAGGAGCTGTTATGAAGTCAAAGACTGCAAATAATGGACCAAACTTGACACTGGCTGGGTAGCACACACACCCAAAGAAGCAGTCCCACAGTGTTATCACCTCAGTCTATAAAGTGAGTCAAATGAGAGGCCAGGTCCAGAGCTGACCACACAGAGGGGGACCTCTGTGAACCCTTCACCTCAGAAAACCAGGGCCTAGGGCTGGAGAAAAGCCAGTGCTTGGGAGATTTTCCCATCACTGCCTCCAAACAAATTTCCTCAGCTTCCAAATCCACCATCATAGCTCTTCCTAAAGGGAATACAAGTTGGCCTATATTCATCCACTCCTTCACCCACTCATTCATTTAACAGCCATTGAGCATGCCCTATGAGGGGCTTTGGACTCAAGAAGAGGGAGCTCATGTTTGAAATAACACTCAGTAGGGAGGGAGCGGTGCCATAGAGAGGAACAGAGAAAGTGATGGGGTTAAAGGAGGGAGGGGACATTTTCCAGCCAACAGTGAGGTGAGGGTATCAGGAAAGCATTTGGGTTAGGCAGGTACTGGATCTGCAGAAACACGGAGGGGCGCACACACAGAGCACAGAGCTGGGGAGACAGAGACATGAAGGGTGAGCATTTCGGCTGTGAGCACCTGTGAGCACCTTTACAGGGTGTGGGGTCCTGGGAGCAAGGTCGGAGTGGTGCAGGGGAGTGTGAGCTTCAGTGCCTGGGCACAGAGGCAGGATCACAGCAAACGGCCAGGACAGAGGTTGAGCCGGAGGCAGGGATGGATGCTGAAGTCAGAATTTGGTGGCTGACCACGTGAGAAGGGGCAGGGTGCCTGGGGGGACAGTGGGGTCACTGATAGCGTGGGAGGGGTGGGGATCATAGAGAACTGGGTCTGGACAGTGCGAGGCAGTCAGACTTGTGCTGTCATCACTAGCATGACCCAGCCCCACCAGATGGGGGGAGAGCCCCTGAACCCCCAAATCAGCTCCCATCAGGACACCTGACTCTTCTTGGTACTCAGTGGCCCCTAATTTACCCCCAAGGAGCCAGGAGCACATTTTCAGAGACAAGCAGAGTGATCACTGGTGTGTCAGGGATCGGGAGCAGGCTGGCTTGCTGGCCACCTCCCTGATCCCAAGCGTGCCAGCTCAGAGGAGCGAGAGGTCAGATTGTCCCCTGAGATGAGCTGTCAGCAGCATCTGAGACATGGCTCTGTCTGGCCCTGGAAGGAGAGCACTGGCTGGCAGCCACCAGCTATTCTATCTTCTGTCCCATCACACCCAGGCCTCACCAGCAGCAGAGCTAATGGCAGGCTGCTTGGCAGTGAGACAGTGGAAGTACCTTTATGTTTCTGCCGTGCAGCTGGGTCAATGGGCCAGCTGCCCCTCCAATTTTGCTCAACTCTGAGGTGGGCTGGTGCTCCAGGCTAGCTGTGTGTCATGTGAAAGGCCCATCTTTAAGAAGGGAAAGAAGGAGCTATTATTGCAATGTCATAGTGAAGTCACAATATTCTTCTTATTAATGAAAGCATCTTCCATTTATTGAGCACTTACTATGTGCTGGGCTCTATGCTAATCCCCACAACAGTTCAACTAGGCAGGCATCCTCATACATCCGTTTTGCAAGGTACTTGCCAAGGTCACACAATTCAGAACTGGAAGTTGAACCCTGGCCTGCCTGGCCCCATAACCATACCATTGCTCAGTGGGCTAGGTCACCCAAGGTCACAGTCAGGAGCACTGGGGAGACTTGGGCTAAGCTTCCTCAGCTCAGGATTCTGAATCCACCTGCTGCTGGGACCCTGCAGTGCCCATCAGCTCTGAATGCCAGATTACTCAGGAGCCAGCTTCTCCCCAGCTTCGTCTGCTCCCTGGCTGGCTGGTGACCTATTTCTGGAGGCAGCTCCCTCGCTTCTCAGGCTGTCAGAACTATGATGGGACGTACTTTGCTGGAGTGCTGAGGGCAGGCAGCTTTGGGGGCAGGGCTTCATTTAAACCCAGGGAGTAACTGAGGCCTGGGGAGAAGCTGGTGCAACACATTCATACATTTGGATCTTGGATGTGATTGCTCTAGTCCAGTGGTCTCAAACTTTTGTATCTGAAGGAACCACCTGATTGCTGGGCCCCACCCTAAGTGATTCTGAGGGCCAGCCCCCCAGGTGGTCTGCTGGGGTGCTAAGGCAGATGACACTTGCAGAATGTCTCTCAGAGGCTCACATAAGCAACATTCAGACCACCCAGCATAGAACAGAGATAGAACCAGGGTCTCTGCTTTGTGCCTCTTCTGCTGACCAGGCCAGAGGTACCTAAGGACAGGAACCGGCGTCAGAATTAAATGTGGACCACGTTCTGTCTGCACAAAACTCTTTTAAATGCACTCTCTCTCGCCTTTGAATCCCAGTGTCTAGTATTGGCTTGCCAACATCTTTTGTTTGGCTCTCATAGGGTTAGACCTCAAAGAGTTTTCAATTTGAATTTTTGCCAATTTTTTAAAAATGTGAGAGTTCACATTAACATCTGGTTTTCCGGCTCCTCGTGAAATGTTGGAGGCCTGGCTACAATAGGGCTTCTGTATCTTGTGGTGTCCATTGTCCTGATGGAGTGATGGCCATCAGCCTGGTTGCCCTTGGCTGTCTCCACTTCACCAGGCTGCACCGCTCCCTGACAATTCTCCTTGGCACCGAGGCAAGGGTCACTTCACACCCGTCATCTTACTCCCTCGCCACGTCACTTGTGGAGGTTACCTTAGAGAGTGAGGCTTGAAGTCTTTCTTCAATAACATCCTTTGAAAATTATACTGCTATTAACCCATTTAAGAGATGAAGTTATTAAAGCTCAGAAAGGTAAGCAATGTGCCTACAAGGGTTCTATAGCTAACGGAAGCAGAGCCAGCACTCGAGCTGGGGCTCCTGCCTCCAGTGGTACCCCGAGCAGCTCCAGGGCCACCGTGCTCACAGGTGACACTCTGAAGGCACCCTCTAGAAGTATGTAGTGCACAGCCCACCAAGCCTTAGACAGTTCTGACTCCCACCAGGGGCCTGACTCCAAAGCCGGCGTTTTTCTTTACTCCATGCCTGCCGTTCACCTCTAGGCCCCGAGAAACAGGGACGTCCCGCCCCATGGGCACTCTCGCTTCTCCCCACAGTGCTCCTACATCCCAGACAGCCTGGACAACTACCAGAAGGCCCGAGCGGACGTGGAGGGAGTGAGAGACAACTTCCACGCGGCCCGGGTTTTCTTCTGCTTCTCGACGACTCAGGAGAACGAGACCAGCGTCCTGTACCGGCGCCTCTATGGGCCGCAGACCCTTCTCTTCTCTCTCTTGTGGCCCACCTCCCTGCTGACCGGTGGCCTCCTCATTATCGCCATGGTGAAAATCAACCAGTCCCTCTCCATCCTGGCAGCACAGAAGTAGACTCGTCCATGCCACGCCACTGCTCGGGCGGCAGGGGGCTCGGGGGGAACCCCAGGCTGTGCCCATGTCTCTTCCCCTGCCTTTCCACTCTCCCTCTGCAGACCGTCCTGTCTTCCAGTGCACGGCTGGCCTTTGTTAACTCATTTCCTGCTCAAGAGTGTACAGTGGCTCCTGAGGGCCTCAGAGAGCACGAGACCAGCCAGTTACAGCTCTCCATTACCTGTCCCCACTCAGCTGACCCAAGCCCATTTCTTGCCACACCACTAACTCCCCCGACAGACAATGGTGATTCTGATCTCTGTGCCTGTGGTGGTTCGAAAAGGCCTGCCTGTCCTGCCCAGGAAGCCATCCTTGGCAAACCTCAGTCCCGCCTTTGAATTTCATAATGAACACAGCAGTGGCTCCTACATAGAGAGCACATTTAGAATACCTCTTGCTTTTAGGTCACTAAGTGCCATGTATATTTTTATCCCAATATTAATAAATATATAAAAAATAACAAGAGGAAGCGTGTTGCAACCCCGGAACCTGGTGGGGCCCTCGGGTAGGTCAGGGACCGGACAGCTGGGCATCGAATCTGTATCAATACCTGTCACTTCCAACCAGGAGCCCTGACGCATCCCCATGCCCTCCAGGCCCTTATCTGCGGACTTTCCTTCTACAGAGACACAGCACGTCATTCCCCAGCGTCTCTCCCTCCAGGGTCCGGGCAGTCAAAAGTTCTCCTAGTCTTTTAAGACCAACTATCACATTGCACTCTCTTTCCACGAGAGGTTGCCATTGGGGGAATTAGGTAAAGGGTCCCTGGGATCTCTGTATTATTTTTTGTAACTAACTGCATGTGACTCCGCAATTATCTCAAAAACTTAAGTTTAAGTGCAACAAATAAAAAAAAAAAAAAGGAAGTTCTTGTCCTGCGTCTCACTTATAGAGACTCCTTTGCACATGGTTTTCATGTACCTGCCTTTGGGGCTACAATACGCAGAAACTGAAAATACCCAGGAAGGAAAGGCATGTCCCTCTAGAAAACGTGGGGATGCCCAGACCCACTGCCCCATGCGTTATTAACCATGACCTTCATGCACGTGAAGCAAATACCCTCCTCCTGTCAGTCAACAGAGATGGGCCTTCTGTCATAGCCACACCTGCTGGCTGCTCACAGAACCTCGTGCACAGGACGAGCGTGAGATAATGGGCGTTTGCACGTGATGGAGTTAGACACGGAGGAACAATGTTTTTGGGAATAATGGCTGCCTGGGAGCAGAGAGCTCTCATTAGTTCTTAATAAATCACTCTGCTAATGAGTGTCTAGCGCTTGCACTGTTTTTGCTTTTCGTCCCGCGGGCCAGTGACTCACATCTGGAGAGGTATGCCTGGATCCCACTCCACGTCTGTGCCCGGGCACTCAGACGGGAAAGGGGAGGGGAGCGGGGCAGAGATGGCTGAGATGCAGCGCCTGCCTTCTGGGAGCTTCTCATCTGCTTGCCACTCCCCCCCCCCCCCCCACATCATGAAGGTTTTCCTTCCTCCCAGCAAAGGACCTAGGTATGAGTAACATATGCAAATTCAATATAAAATATCAATAGGCAATATAAAATATCAATAAAATCTTAATTCCTGTGGCTCATGGAAAGGATGCCAGCCCCTCCTTTCTCCAAACCAACAATTCATCCAAAATTTCTCCTAATTTCAAAACTCCCTGCGTGAGTGGCTTGTCAACGGCGTTCATCCTATTGTGAATTGACAGTGCAGGCTGGTGCACAAGATTATCCAATGTCCTTTCAATTATTCTTGCCTTTGGGGGAGTTTGAATGATCTGAAATATCTTCAGAGATACTGTTTGAACCAAGTGCAGCTGTCCTGGACCTCACCAGACACCGTCCTTACACATGGAAGGAAAAGAAAAAGAGCAAAGCCAGTTCCGAAAGGCAGAGAGCTCTTCACACAGTGCAGCATAGCAGTTCTCAAAGTGGGGGCTTCCAGGGTCAATCTCTTTTCCTAATAATACTAAGATGCTACTTGCCTTTTGCACTCTCCTTCCCTTACCAGCTTATGCAGACCTTTTCGGACTTTACATCACAACAGAATGACTGCAGAAGCCGATCTGAGAATCGAGCTGTCTTCTCCTACGCCAGCCATTAAAGAGATGTGCAAACATGTAAAACAAGGCCTCTTCTTTTTTTTCAATAAATATTTTGTGGAAAATATAATTACTTTTCATAAAGACATGTTATTGTGTTCACCTGTGATGACCTTATTATTTTAAAATAAATGAATTTAATAATAAATAAATAAAATAAAAAATAAAAATGTATATAAAATAAAATAAAATAAATGAATTTACATTAAACATTCTTAGTTTTTCATTTCTAAAGTAATAAATATTAATAGATATAACCTATATAAACCAAATCTCTTTGGAGTCCTGAATACATTTTAAGATTGTAAAATTATTCCGAAACCAGAAAGTTTCAGAGCTGCTGGCCCGGTATATCCCAGAAGGGGTCTCCCTCTGTTTTTCCCACACCATGCCCTGTGGGTATGAAGCCCTCCCCTGTGTTTCATCAGACCCCCACGAGGGTGGGGGTGGGGTGCAGGACGACAACTTTAGTTTCCCAGTCTCCTCTGGTTCTCTCTTCCACAAACGTATTAGTACATGGCGTATCTCCCTACCCACAGGTGCTTTCTTGGATCTTTGTTGTGTCAACGCAAATACAGAACTCAGCTTCCTCCTAGATTTCCACAGCTCTCCCTCCCACTCGTCTAAAACACATGCTCCTTGGCCAATTTCCTTAAAGGCTTTGGGAGGTGGGGAGAGGACATTAACAGACGCAAAGGCAAATGACTCCCAACCGAATGTTGGGTGAAGTGGGCGATCCATCACAAGGCTTGCACCCCCTTCCACTGTGGCAGAGTCAAGTGTGGTGGCTCAGGCAGACCGGACCCTCCCGGGACCTCCATCACCTCACACCAAGCTCCCTTGCTCCTGATATTCATAAGATCAAAGCAGGGGCTTGCTAAGCACATTGCTAAGGCTCCTGGCTCCTAATGGGACGGTTGTGCTGAACTCTCTCTCCTCTGTGATTTCTGGAGTGGATTTAAACCCCCGTTTGACTCCCCATATTCAAACACAAACGCATGTTCTCTTAGGGTCGACAGTGCTTTAAAGATCCTCTAGGGCTTCCCCACTTTCTAATCAGGTGCCTGAGCCCTCCCTACAACACCGCCCTGTAGCGAATAGCTGCATCCACAACGCTTCTGAAGAATGACTCACTGTATCGCTATATCAGTAGGAAACCACCGAGGCACAGGGGTGGGGAAGTAGGGGGAGATATAACTTGCCGCAGGTCATAAGTTAGTAAATAGCAGAGCTGGGTAGGGTCATCCGCCACTCTAACCACTGTGCTTCCTGCCCCCTTAGTCTCTGCCCATATCAAACATGGAAAGTGCGGAGCAGGACAGGGTCAGTGCGGAGAGCCTGAGGGATGCCTCCATATACCTTCCCACAGAGCCCAGGCTTTCAGGCTGCTCCCCAGAGCCACACCTCTGAAGAGTCGATGGAAGTGGATGAGGCCCAAACATTCACGCCTGACAAAGCCCTGCACAGGTTCTGAGGTGGGCACTGCCAAGACGGACAAGGCCATGTGGTCAGCTACACTCTGCGTGGCTCCACGGTCACCTAGCCCACAGCCCATGAAATGCCTGGCGGGAACCCAGGCATGCCACAGCCATGGCAATCCCTGAACCAGTCAAGCTATTAAAAAGCAGAACTGAAGAGAGGCTGGTCTGACACGAGTCTTTCTCAGAGACCCCGCACTTCCCAGTCACCCTTGCTTTCTTTTCCAAGTGTTCCCAAACCACTGGTTAACAGTCCACTCTAGAAGTTGTCCCGGAGTTGTAGATCTATTGGATTGTCAGAAAAGTCATGACGCATTTTTGCAACGAAGAAACAGAGAAAAGATACGTCATGACTTTTCCGACAACCTACTATATCTATGCTCCTGTATATACACCTTTAGAGCCTTCTTTCACTATGAATAAAAATTGGGCCATGTACACCTCCTTGGTATCTAAGTAATTTTTCTATGACTCTGTTGATCACACAAGTAGTATTCCTAGAACCATCTATATACATGCGTCATTAAACACCGTTTTATATGCCCTCTGCGGGTTCAACCCCTGGAATTGAAATTCCTGGAGGCACAAGCCAGCACCTCGCTGATCCGGAGCAGGCAGGGTCACTCTGAGGAGCTCCTGACCCCCACATGAACCTCGTAGCCACGCTGGACCACCACGCCAGCTCTCAGATGTCGTTCCTTGAGGGGAAGGCGGGAGCAAATGCAAACAAAAGTGAGCATTGCTTGTCCCTCCATCAAATCATTCACCCCAAGCTGACTCAGTTATCAGTTATCATCACTCTCTCTCTCTCTCTCCAAACATGTTTTAAAGGCTTTTTCTTTTTCTCATTCTTACATTCTTTTGGGGGGTGGGGGATAAGTTTCAGCTTAGTATGACCTTATTCCTATGGCCCTAAACTATGTGTTTGTGTTTTCTTTGGACAGGGAACCTGCAGAGGGGAAAACTCAGAAAAGCAGGAGTTGGAATCTGACTTGTTAGTGACCTTGCGCAGTTCATTTAATCTCTGAGTCTCAGCTTCCTCAAATGGAAAAATTAGCATAACTTGGTTTGTTCCAGAGGACGCTTGAGAGATGATTCGATGCAATAAAGCTTGTGAAGTCCCCAGCACAGTGCCTGGTACATAAAAGACGCTGCGCAGGTGTTCGTTCTCTCTTTGAGCAAACATGCCTCCTTCATACAGATTCTCCCGTTTGAGCCCAGGGAACTTCCTGCTGTCCCCTTCTTCTCACTCGCAATGTCCCACTTTGTGAGTATCATTGAGCATGATCTCGCCTCTCTCCCTCTCAACCCATTTCTAGCTATGTTCCCTCTTAAAATTTTCTGCCACGGACAGATTGCCTGGTGTTGCTTTGAACTTTCTTGAACCTACTTTTATACGCTTAGTTCCTGAGGAAAAGCAGTCCTGTCCACAGGGGCCACATCCCCGCCTGGTTGAACCCTCTAAGGGTGAAAGGCCCAGTCCCCTTGGGAAGTCCACTTCATGGGAGACCCATCATCACCAACAACAATAGGTCTGGCTGGAATAATCCTCCTAGTGCGAGGCAGGCAAATCCCTCAGCCCAGAAATCAGGCTTAATTGGAAATTAAATTGCATTTCAGTGCCAGCTGCAGGATGCTTAGATCCACAGCTAATTTGTCAAGGTGATGCCTCAGCTCCCTGAAGCCCATGGGAATAGAGTGGCCGCATCAGCAGAACTACAAGCTTGTATCTGAGGAGAACTTTCTTTAAAGCGCAAATTGAACCTTTCAGGTTTCTCATGTTGGGTCTTGTACACTTATTGGCTGCCTCCTCTGTGCCAGGCACTGTGCCAGGACCTGGAGCTAGGGATACCGGTGGGACCTGGCACTGTACTCTAGCTGTGCCCAGGCCAGTGGCAGGAAGGGACTATGTAGGCAAAACATCCCCAAGTCACAGCACTTTAGTTAGCTATCCAGGGTTGAGTAGCTTAGGAAGGTACTCATGGAACAAACACTTTTGTTTCCTGCTTTTCCACCTACTATCATGTCAGTAGCCTGTCTGCCTGTTATTAGGCAGTCCTCAAAATAATTTTTCAAAAGTTTAATGTTATTCCACCAGATAGATGAACGAAAATTTATGCCGCCCACTGTTTTTCAACTGAAGTTTTGATGGTCTTGTTTTTTACTGTTATAATGTAATTCCATGACCAACGCCCTAATAAAAGTCTTTTTGCACCTTCTGGTGATCTTCTTAGAGTAGGTATCTGGTGCAGGCCTCTCTCCTCTGCT